ATTTGTTTATCTTAAACATAATTATTTTAAATATTTTAACTTCCTTCAATCTTATCTCAAATGATTTTGTAACTTTTTTTATGGTTACATTCAAATCTTTACATTGAGACTTTCGAATGTGGCACTATCTGTTACAAGTAACTGCAGAGAACCGTCATTCGAATGTTACATATTAAACAATCGAATGTTTCACATGATTTTGAAAAACGGATAAAAAATTTCTCTACCAACTAATGCCTATGAATACTTGCAATTTTAATATTTTTATACAGTATAACTTTTGAGACACGAAAGTTGTATATACATTTCCTTAATTTCAATCAATAGTTTACATTCGTTCGTTGAGAAAATTCGTTGTTTTTTCCAAGCAAAATTCGTACTACAAATCCAAATGTATTTGCTTGAGTTATCAAGAAAGTATTGTCATACTCTACTAGGCTCACCCAGAGTCCCAACACTTTACTCATCAAGGAGTTGGTTACCACTGTAACAGTTGTGTTTGGGGATTGAATGAAAGAAGCAGGTCGAACGCCCGAACCAGTATATACCGTGTGTTCTTACATTACTTTATATTCCTGCATTATCTTTCACGATATATTTTTAATTATCACTCACACTCACGCGAAATGATTGTCGAAATTGGTAAACACCACTCCGCGATATATTATCACACAATTATCACACTCGGGCGATATATTATCTCACTCTTCATGCTTTCCTTTATTATTTTTTATGTTCAATTGTTCATCTCTTCCACGCGAAAAATATCCAACATGCATTGGAAACCTCTATTCACACCCCCCCCCCTCTAGAGGTGATCGTATATTCTAACTGCATGGACCTTTTAATATAAATCAAATTATCTTGTAATCAGCTTATACCTAATATCTATGACGCACAGGTGTGGAAATTTAATATAAAAAAAATAAAAAACAGGGTACGGGTGCGGCAATGGCCAATGGGCGTGGCAAATTTATTTATACATTTTTTATTTGTATTACTCATTTCTTTGTAAGATACTAAGATACGTGTATTTATGTATGAAATATTCACAAAATATATTAACTATCCTAATGTTAAATAAATCAAAAACATAACACCACCCAAAATAGAGAGAAAACACAATAGAAGTCTCAAATTACCATTAAAGTTAACATCAAACCACATAAAATGTCTCAAACACAACCATAATAAAATGTCTTAAACACAACCATAATAAAATTTCTCAAACACAATCATAATTCAATTAACGACCCAATAACCCAGTACCCCACAAATTAAAATAGCACAAAAGAGGTCAAGAGGAAATCTCAATAGCCCACAAATTTGCATATCCAAAAAAAACAATTTATGACACACATACAAATTCATACCAGATTACCAGTAGAGCACACGCCATAAAATATTCAAGAAATTGGAAGAGGAAAGAGAGAGACTTAGACAAAGAGAACGAAAGAGAGAGAGGCTGGGAGATACAGAGGGTACAGATTAGAAGGCGATCGGAGGAGAGAAGAGGATACCTAAATGAATGACGCCGGAGGAACAACACCGGCAATGTCGATCAACAACGAAACCGATTGTAGGAGGCTCTCTCTCACACTATCGCAAACAGGGTATGACCTACAAGATGCTCCAATTCATTTTATTTATAAGAAGTTCCATTTTTTTACTTTGGGCCCAAATTTTTTTAAGCCCTACAAAACTGCCCCTTTCTAAAATAAAAAAACAAGACAGACACACACCCAGCAGACCCATGCCACATCCCTGCACCCGCACGGTGCTTCGTGCACCTGTTTTTTGAAGCACCTGTGCTTCATAGCCCTAATATTTTTGTTAATTTAATTCTGTTCGAAGGCTCATATGAATCTGATGGACCTAAGATCCTTGATAAGGCACTCATAGTTGTCTAAACTATATTTATAACTTACAAAGTTATAATAAAAATAGCAAAAAAGATATTCAGATGATCATCGACAAACTGGTCCATTTTGAAAAATGATCACTAAAACTAACTAGACAACGGAAAAAATTGTTAGATATAAATCCATCCTCTTTCCTAGTCTAGGTTTTGTTACTTTTCTATTCCACGATCGTTAGCTAATGGAAGTATGCAACACTCGAACTCAAAAGATTACATTCTACTATGTAACATTCATAAGGCACGATGAAATAATAAAACTTCTTGCATATTCAAGACCTTAATAGTGATAAATGATGTCCTTGTAAGAAATAAAGGTACCTGCACTTTGTTGGGGGTTGATTCCAACTCCATCTGAATAAAGAAAACCAAAGAGATCATGTAAACTTCCATTCACAAAAACAAAACAAAACAAAAAAAAAAAGAAAACGGAACAAAAAATCTTTTTTTCTGTAAATCAACCCATACCAAGTAGTAAACACAATTAACTACCCATTTCTATTATGTAAACCTGAACCTCTTAAAAAATCGGTATTTCTTCCTTTAGTTTCAATTGCTATATAATCAATGGCCTAAGAAAATTTGCAATATGAATTCCCCTGATTAGCTCATCATTGACCCGTATAAAACCGGACAAGCAACCCCCCTCCCCACAACAGAATCTGTTAATTGATCATAAGCATGTACAGAGTATGCACGCTCAAAAGAAAAAAAATGAATACCATTAGTGATGATGGCGCTGGTTTGGGGAGGGACCTTGAATTCCTCTGCTGCGAATTTGAGAACGGCTGTGAAGGGAGCAGCCTCAGGAACGCTGAAACTGAAGTAACGAAGAAGGACGGTTACATGGAAAGAAAATTGGACCGATTTCCCAAATATAATTAAACAGAAAAAAAGAAGAAGATTAATCAAATTAGGAGGGTAAAAGATACGATACGCACACTTTGAAAGGCAATTTTGGATCGGAAGTGAGTATAACCTTGAACGAAACCTTGCCTCCAGGCGTTTTTTCCATGTCTGCTCCAACTCTCTGAATCGATTGCAAATTTGCAGGTTTGTGTGAGGACGGACTAGGGTGCGGCCGTGCGGGTGCCAAGCTCTTCAAAAATTACAGGGGTGTTCATGAGAGAATAAATATAGGTAAGATACTACATTATTACAGGATGTACATTCGGGTAGTACTCAATCAAGTAAAGTAGGACTAGTTCTCGCACAAACATAATTATTAATTTAGAAAAAAACATGGTACTCATTCTAAAATAATGTAGTACTCATTCTAAAATAATGTAGTACTCATTTTCACACATTTATTCAATTCAATTATAATATTTATCCACAAATAACGTAGTGTTCATTTTGAATAAAAATATTACACATTCTCAAATAACTTAATGCTCATTATCAAATAAAATAAACACATACCATAAATAACATTTTCTCTGCAACTAGAGTTTTCATCCATGCCTCCCCTTTCATCTACCGCGGCTTTCTTCCTCGATTTACGCGACCCAACCCGCAACCTCAATCTGTAACGTCGTCGCCACCTTCGGTGCTCCTTAGATCTTCCTTCTCCATCGTTTTCTCCGGATTTTCGCCACCACCGCTCCACGTTATCTTCCCTGCTCCATTGTCTTTCGTCTCCGGTGGCCCGACCCGGCAAATAGAGGAGCGGCAGAAATTCTGGTGGCTTCCATTCCATCTTATTCCATCCTCAATTAGCCGGTTGTACTGAAGATTCGGTACAACCGGATGTACAATATAATTTGTGGTTTTCTGGAGAAGGTAGTATCAGGTAGTATTGAGAGTGTATATGGTACAACGGGCTGTATCTAGAATTACGTACGTCCGGGTAGTACTCATTCTGAAATAAATAGTACTCATTCTTAGATATATGTAGACGTTCTTTTTATATATGTAGTACTCATTCTGAAATAAAATAGTACTCGTTTTAAAATAATGTAGTATTCATTTTCATACATTTATTTAGTACTCATTTACAAATAACATAGTATTCATTCTGAAACAAAGCGATACTCATTCTCTAAGAAGATAGTATTGCTTACTCCCTAATTTCATAAAATTTGACAGAAAAATATAATCCTCATCCTCACCACTGCACCATGGTGGCCTATTGATCTCGTTGTTCTGCAAACATCCTCCCCACGCATCACCTTCATCCCACATCCTCCACGTAGCCGTCGCCACATCGATTGCCGATCGCGGCCTCCTCCACGCAGCCCCCACCACATTCAATTTATATTGCCGCTGCATCCTCGCACTAGGGCCGGTCCATCCTTCGTTGGTGCGCCTCCCCTTCCGTCGATTTAATTGCGGGTTGTACCGAAAAAATGGTACATCCGGATGTACCTTATAATTTACATGTAGTATTAATTGATTTAAGGTAGTACTCATCTTCATACATTTACACAATATAATTATAATATTTATTTACGAATAACGTAGTGTTTATTCTCAAACAACTTAGTATTCATTTTGTAGCAAAATAGTTTTCATTCCAAATAACTTATAGTAAAAAATTTAGGGAGCAAGCAGTCATCTCTACAATCTATTCCTTGTATTTTCCATCTTGGATTGATGCTAGCACCACCAACTACGACGACAGTGAGGAAGGGAGACGAACTCCATCTTCTGCAGAAGAGCCGTTGGCCGTCCGCTAGGGTTTCCGCTGCCACATTCATCTCTTACGTGCAGTCGACCACTCCTTCCACAGAGCATCTCCTTCGATCCAAAATTGCAGGCCTCTCCTTCGCAGCCCTCCTTTCATCGGTGCCTCTCCTTCGATCCAAAATAGTTGGTCACAGTAATTCCTCCTCTTCGTCGGCTTCTTTTGTCGCAGTAATCGCAAGCCTCTTCGCAGTAACCATTTAGGTTTTAGGCTGGTTGTACCCTACATTGGTTACAGCCGGTTGTATAATATAATTTACAATGTTTTCTCTAGTCCTAATTGTTCATTAGCTATTTTTAATTTATAAAATGTTTATAAGTTAAACATTTTTTCAATGAAAGCAAAATGACTTAACATAGATAAGTCATTTGAAAATATTCATAAATAATAATGGACAACTTTGTAAACAATTTGGTCAAAATGAAACACAGAAACTCACTTAAAAATAAGTATGTAAGACCTATTTATTGTTTTTTACTCATAAGTAGCTTAAAAGCACAAATAAACATTTCATCAACAGATTTATAGGTAAAAACTACTTATAAGCAGTTTGGCCAATTTATAAGCACAGTAGAACACCCACATAGTCTTTGGACATGGACATGGACACAACCCGGGTTGGTTCCCATTGTGCAAGGGATAAGTAGGGTGGGAGCCGTTCACAACCCGATTGTGGACCAAAAGAACGTGTTAAAGTAGTCCCTCATCCTAAAATGTTCTCTCCAGTTACTATTCGCACAGTCAAACTTTAATCACTTTTTTTACATATTTTTGTTAGTTATTGATAAAATAATATAGTCTTCAACCTCTTGTTTTCTAGAACTTTTCATGTAGTTTTTAAATAGATAAATTTATGTTTTAATTTTACACATACTATTAAATAAATTGAATTAAAAATAAAATCGGTCGAACCCTATAAACAGAAATGAGATCATTTTGTACATAAAGAAATCTCTCTAAATGGAAGTAAAAACGTATGAAAGTACCAAAATAGGACTTCTAAGTCTTTTAAACCAAAATAAGAGTGTAATGGCAGTGTGGTGTAAGAGTACGTGTTGGAAATGTGGTGGAAAAAGTGATGACAGTGTAATATATTAGTGTGATCAGTCAACAAGCAACGATCTACGATGGCACTCTGGGTGCCGACGGCGATGGTGACACTGTAGCGGTGATAGTATGACAATTATAATGTGACAATGTGGTGAATGTGACAGTGTAAAAATGACATTCTAAACTCCTATTTTTGTTTTAAAAGACTTAGGACTCCTACTTTTTTTATTTTCATGACTTTTTACTCCTAACTAGGGAGTTCTCCCTTGTACATAACTGACAATTACGTTTAGTACCCTCACAACTCAAAAAAATAACGATGTAAAGAGTTGTACATAAACAAGGAGCTTATAGATCGCTCATCTAAATAACTAAATTACACCAATTAAGAGTAAAAAATTAAAAGTGAAGTCAGTCGTCCAAACCACCATGTCCCTTCATAGTTGCGTCCATGAGTTTTGTGTAATCATGTCGTACGTCGCCTCTTGTCGTCTAGCCAATCTCAGTTGTAAACCAGGGTCTCCAGTGAGTCAGCATTGAGACTACTCCAGAAGTCGGTCAAAATATTACAGCTAGAAGTAAATTCATGTTTAATGGTTACTTTTGACACCGACATAGATAACACCTGTCTAACTAGCATCTCGAGTAATGGGCACATGTGCTCATTCCACTTCCACAATTCGAGAAACTTGAATTCATTTTCGTTTTCTTCATCATAGTCGCATGGAATCAGACACCTTGGTACATCACAAGTTCGTTGTGTGAACTTATCGTTGTACCACTTACACTTATAGACGTGGAGCTAGTCTGTAACACTTGTAAACGGACCTTAACATTTTTAACTAAGAAAAATTTTCTAACAATTATCTAATTGGTAATTCGACTAAAAAGAAAGACAAAATTAAAAATGTAAAACCTTTAGAGCCAAAAGCTGTAACGGTAAACATAAAGTGAGGTGAGCTTTGACCAACAAGGGTTTGGACTGTTACAAAAAATAATTTTTTCTACAAACAGAAATGAATATTGTCAAGCCGTCCCATGCCACGGAAATTGGAAAAATAAAGGTGAAATCCTACTTGGACCAAAATCGAGTTAACACTAAAAAACAATTTGACTTGACGATAGTGCATAGATAGGCTTGAAATTCGGAAAGTCAATAAAAGGAAAATTTACTCGGAATTCAGTGGCATGTTATTTCCAGATGACAATCCACTTAATAAATACTCCCTCCGTCCACATTTAAAGTTCCCGCTTTGACCGGGCACGGAGTTTAATAAAAGTTAAAATTTACGTTGACTTTCCCAAACTACCCCTCAACCTTGCCCACACCCCCATCCATATTGACTGCCGACTACCGAGGCTGTCCCAAGTTCATGCGGCCCAACTCCATCGTTCCACAGAAATTCCAATGGTCGAAATCCGGCGAATCTCCGGCCAGTGTGAAATTCCGGCGATGAGTGAGTCGAAAAAAGATTTGAATCAGATTTCTTCATTGACTCCAAAGAAGATGAAGATGAAAAAGATTTGAAGATGATTCTTCGTCGATTCACAGATCTGAAACGATTTTCTCAGATCCGACGATGAAGAAGAAGAAAAAATGAAAGGACAAATCGAAAGGGGAAAAAGAGGAAGAAAAAAACGTAGAAGAAGAAGAATAGAATTGAAAAATCAAAAGGGGGAAGAAGGGGAAGAAGAAAAAAAATCAGAAGGAGATGATGATGAAGAAAGGAAAATTCAGAAGGGGGGAAGAGGAAGAAAGGAAAAATCTAAAGAAGAAGAAAGAAAAGTAAGAAAAAATCAGAAGGGAAGAAAGAAGAACAGAGAGAGAAGGGAAGAAGAACAAGAAAAAGGAGAGAAGAATCCCAATGTGCGGACGGGAAAAAGGAAAAAAAAGAAAGAAAAAGAAGAGTGGAAAGGAAAAGAAGAGAGGAAAAGTAAAAGTTAAAGAGGGTATTTAAGTCTTTTTAACAAAAGAAAGTTTCTAAAAAAGGAAATGGGAACATTATTTATGGACGGACCAAAAAGGAAAGTGGGAATCAAACTAATTTCTTGGTAGAGGCGTTGAATAATGACAAAGAAAAGTTTTCATTCGTCTTAAAGGATATTTATCTACGATGAATGAAGTTCGGAAAAATATAAATATAATGAAATAATGGAAGTCGTGACAGCCAACAGAGGAAGTTTCTATTTTGTGTATGGTTAAGGCGGAACTGAAAAAATGTTTTTTTTAAAATCATTATCTGCTTCTCAATGGTCAAATGACAAGGTTGTCTTGAATGTCGCATCTAAATACATTGTAGCTTTTTTTTGCCTAAGAGAAGGATAACACACTCGAGATTCTTAATCACTTTAGCACTAACCGAGTGCTCATTGTGTGTCATCA